GTGGCCAGAGTCCATCATAGCCACTTGTTTTTAGAAATTCACCTCGCAATTTCATAGCAGATGTATAAAAACAGTGTAAAGTGTCACTATCCAATGAAGTATTTTTAACAGCTGTTGCAGTCTGTGTAGTTTCAGTCCCTGTATTTTCAGTTTCAGTTCCTGTATTTTCAGATTCAGTTTCAGTACCTGTATTTTCAGATTCAGTTTCACGTGTGGAAGACTGTATTTTATCTAAATGGGATTCATCTTCAATGAATACCATTTCACTTTTAACACGTTTAGCAGGCCTATGAAAAATTAACTGTGGGAAATGCTTCTGTAATTTCTGTTTCAGTTGGAAGCACCTACAAAATTAAAAATTACATTAGATAATGGATGGATGAATGAATGACTGAATATTGTTTTATGGCACCAATTTGCGCCAAACATAATGGATGAATGAATGTTGTTTTATGGCACGTTGACACACTAATCAAGGCAATTGTTCAAACCCACAGGTTATCGCAAATGTTGATACACTGGGTGGTACTTGCGCTGTGTGATCAGATATGCTTCTCGCATACCTTGTCACTGAGGTTGCAGAGAACGGACTTCAACCTATTGATGAGAGACCAATATCAACCACCTGTCCCAATAGTCAACTTTTTTACATGTTGGACCGGCGGTGAACTGATTTTACTAAAGCCTAACTAACTGCAAGTAAATTACAAATAAAAATATGACCTAAGAATTAGGTCATTTTAAAAAAATCTCACAATTAATTAAGGACGAGCAGTTGTTTTTTTGAGGGTAAACAATAAGCATTCCCAATCTTTATCATCTACCATAAAAAGTATTAAACCTGTTTTAAAAACTACTTGAATCAAACAAGGCCAGGACAAGGAAAAAAAACTATTGTATTACCTGAAACTGGAAGCATCAAGCTTTTCAATTTTTCGGACCATATTTTGAAATATATGAAGGAGCTTTGACATGTACATAATTTCTCTTCCCTTGATGATTTTAGTTCAAATGATATCATTGGCAAAAACTTCAAACGTTCTGTGAAAAATAGGTGATTCATCTTCTTTACTGAAAAAATTACAAAGTAAGTTCAGAAGGAGACAACAGACAAAATCAATTGGCTACTATAACAGACATATGGGTCACAGAAGTATAATGAATAATTTGATTATTAAACAAGCCAACAAGACAAAATTTCACTTATCAAGCTAGATGTAGCTGATTATGTAATGTAGGTAAAATGTACTATACATAACTTTATTAAATTATCAGTGCTGCACAGAATGACAGAGAATGAATGAATGTTGTTTTATAGTACGTCGACACCGTAAATCAAGTCAATTTGCGCCAATCCACATCCGCAGATGATTTACTTACGGGAGTATTTGCGCATGATCGGATAGGCTACTCCCACACCTTGTCACTGAGATCGCAGAGAATGGGACTTGAATCCTCGACCACATTGATGACAGACCGATAGATAACCTATCAGTCACCCGACTAATCTCCCCAATAGTCGCCTTTTACAAAACGCTGAGGAGAGGCGGTGGACCTATTCTACTATCTAGCACTAGGCTAGCCCAGGTCCACGGGGGACAGAATGACAGAGGCCTGCTGTTAGGTTTAAATGGCTAAGAAACAACATACTACCAATAAACAGAAGTATATAAATGCCAGCTAGTGTCAATACTATTAATGGCATGTTGGGTTGTGTACTAAATCCAAAAAATACTTACACACTGCTAGTGTTTCTACTTAAAAGACTAACATATCTTTTATAGCAGGAATCATGATATCGTACTTCGATGGCAACACAATGTTTACCACGAATATGTTTTAAAATAAATTCATCATCTTTTTTTGTGGCTGCTTCACGTAATAAACCTAAGTGTAAAAAAAGACACAAAAATAAAAAGCTAATATTTGGGAAGAAAGCAAACACATTGGTGGATGGTGGTCAAAGGAAAATCCTACGATTTAATTAATTGATTTGTGTTGAACATCTTATTACTGCTTACTTGCAAATAATTCCTAAAAAAAAATTATTATCGAGTAGGGGATATTTGATTTTGGGGGCATAATACTAAAATATGCAAATGACTACGAAAAAAGTCACTATAGAACCTAACAGAAGAAACATTTCCAGTTACATGTGACGCCCAAACGCACCAATAGCTACCGCATGGAATGCAGGTAATGCTTGGGATCATCATGGGGGTCCAACCCAAGATTTGCACGACTCCGACTTTGAATGTTACAGTCATTGTGGCATTGAATTCCAGGGTGGAAACATCAGTTTAATTGTTTTAGTGACCAGAAAACAAATTTTGATATGCGTCGGCTTACCCAAAATGAAAGGTTACGTGCCCTTGGCATGCTACAGATCGGCACAACACAGGCGGTTGTGGCGCGGACGATGAATGTTTCTCAGTCTGTCATAAGCAGGCTATGGTCCAGATACCGTGATACACAATCTGTACAGGACAGACCACGCTCAGGTCGACCAAGGGCGACAACTCAAGCCCAGGATCGATCTAATCGTACCTTGGCCTTGAGAAATCGTGTCATCACAGCAAATCAGATCAGCGCTCGTCTTCAAACAGACACTGGTGTGAGAGTGAGTGGCCAGACGATTCGGAATCGACTGCATAGGGGTCACCTTCGCGCCCGACGTCCTCGCGTGATCCCTTGTTTGAGAGATCATCACATTCAGGCAAGACGTCGTTGGTGTAGGGATCGTCAACACTGGGATAATCGAAGCTGGAGCAATGTGATGTTTTCAGTTTTTTGGACAGACGTAGGAGGGTGTGGCGTCGTCGAAACGAGCGCTTCCAAGACGTTAACGTCATCAGACATGATCGATTTGGGGGTGGTTCTGTTATGGTGTGGGGAGGTATCACTGTTGCTGGAAGAACAGCTTTACATGTTGTTGCAGGGCGTGTTACATGCCAGTACTACCGGGACAACATCTTGGCAGTCCATGTTGTGCCGTTCGCACGACGTCATGGCCGCCGTTTCATCTTCCAGTATGACAACGCAAGATGTCACAGGGTCAGGATCGTTACAGGTTACCTCCAACAACAGAACATCACCACATTACCTTGGCCAGCACTGAGTCCCGACCTCTCCCCCATCGAGCATGTCTGGGACATGCTTGGACAGAGGTTACGTCAACGTCAACAACGTCCTGCCAATGTCCAAGAACTTGCTGCTGCGTTGCAACAGGAATGGGACAATCTGGACCAAAATGACCTTAGACGTCTCATTAGGAGTATGCCACGTCGGATCAATGCTTGTTTGGCAAACAGAGGAGGATTTACCCGTTACTGACTTGGTTGTGATGCTGTGGTAACTTTGCTGTTTGACCCCGGGTATCATTTTACCCTTATAATGGTCAGTCTGTGCCTTACTTAGTCTAACGATCATTTGGAATAAATCGATGAATGTGAACTTCATTTCATTTTGTCATTTGTTTCTTCGTCAGTTTCATTAGGTGACTTTAATAACACTTAAAAATCAAATATCCCCTACTTTTTTTGAATAGTATAATTGCCTTTGATTTTTCTGTAAAGGCTATTCCAAACTATGCTCCCACAAGACGGCAGGTTTTGTTTTAGACCAATCACCGGCGGAATATAAATTTGACAAAGTTCCATGGAACCTGACTAAAATGATTCTAATAAGAATGTAATTTTAAATATTATGTGCTGTACTCCATATTTCTAATATTACTTTATTGAAAATGATATTTCATAACCCTTGACATTGTAATTAATGACTAATGTAATTTGTTAGTTATGTTTCATAAAAATGTTTTGCCCTTCAGTTTAGGCTTCAGTTTTGTTTTAAAACTTGGATGTTTGCCCACCACTGGTTTGCGTGATACCATGTATTGTGAACAAGTACTTTATATATTTCTTAACAACAACCAACGTGAACACTCACAGCCTAGAAAAAATTTAAATACTAAGACTAAGAAAATAATAATAATAAAATAACTAATAATAACATACGACTTCCATACCTTCGAACACATCTCGATATGTGATTGCAATGTTTTTTTCTTCTCCATCCAAAGTCTGCCACTGTTTTGCATATTCGACACAATGACTCCAGGTGTTGTCGTTAAAAACTAGTAACTTGCAGGGCTGTGTTGCATTCTGGTGAATTAGGCACTTCATTTTTCTGGTGAGAATGCCAGAAAAATGTGTCCTTGTTGACTATATACGCCATGATTGAAGGATCAGGGCTAAAAGTTTTCTTTATTTTGATTGGCCAAAATGCCACTCGGCAACAAACTTCGACTGAACTAGCCGTTACGTCATTGATCATAGTGCGTATTCCTACGCGTGTAATGTTTATTTTTTAGGTGATTAGTTAAAAAGAATTCCATTTTTAAAAAATAATTATTAAATACTGGCACATGCTGAATGTGTGGAGATCATGTTTTTTAAATAAGTACAAAGAGACGTGTAATTTAAAAAATTAAAATCTCCCACAGAGGTTGTTGCAACGAACTTGAACGATAAATTTCTTCGGTCTTTCGCCTACCTGGGTAGTACCGGCAGCAGGAAGTTCTGCAGCCTTCATTTCAGTCACTTCAAATTGGCTGGTTTACTGAAAATAGATTTTAAAAATAGTTCAACATACATTATTCAAGAGCTAAATATGCCTATTGTAAGTCTTTCTTCAGGCCTGAAATGTTATACAAACTATTAATTAGACATTAATTAACGTATCCAGACAATAATCAACTCTCGATGTCAACGCTAGCCTGCGATATTTGTTGGATTATGATTTTTGTCGTACCAACTTAAGTAATGATGACCGAGGTTATGCGGAACTTTCGATCGCTTATTTCCCGGTTCATAGTGGATCAATTTGACTGAAATTTTCAGCAAATTGCTTTTACATTATCTAGTTTTTAACTGTTATAGTGAGAACTGCCAACTCGTTATATAATCTCGCATAATGTATCTTTAATTTCATTTTTTCAGAAGTTTGAACAGTATTGTTTAGAGCCACGAGTTCTGGATCTTGCCAATGTATATAGAAACGGTGTACTGGCAATCGATATGGACAAAGACATTAATCGAAGGAGAAGACATGCAACCTACAGACAATTTGTTATGTAGTGCCATGGACGTATTGGTGCAGGGAAGAGAGTAGTAGTACCCTCCTGTTGTGTTCTGAAAATAGGATTATCGTTTCAAGACAGAAATGGACAGTACAAGTGTTTTAATCCAAGGCGATTATTATGATAATACTTACATTAAAATCTGGTTTTCTGTTTGTTGGCTGTCTCTGAAGTTGGTTCTGGCTGGGGTTTTGCAACTGTGCCTGCAATCTTTCGAGCGCCATCCTGGTCTTTATCATCGAGTCTGGCCCTATAAAGATAGTAAATTTAAGACATCAAAATAGTTCCAGGATGGTTTGGCAATTAATACAAATTCTTTTTTCGTGCCAGACATTTATAATTTTTACAACACTTTATTTGATTCTATATTAAAAAATTGCTACTTAACATGCTTCAAATTTTTCCGCATTTTAGGGTAAGTGTTCTGGTATTTTTCAGAAAAGGAGTATGTCAGAATAATTTTGCGCTTCTTGACAATGCTCTAATTTATAGAGAGATAAATTAGCCTACATATATGTTGGAGGAATTTATGTACTACTTATACTACTCTAAAGTTGTAATTTAACTCATCTATGATAGATGAGTATCCAATGTCTACAGGTCACAATTTTTATCCGATTTCAATGAAAATTGAAATATAGGTTTATCACCCTAAGATCTTGGTTCATTCGATATTGGCATGTATCGGACTATAACTTCATGGATTATGGCCCCTGATTGTACGAAAAATCACGTTTTTAGGTTGTAAACACTGTAGAGGTCACAATTTTTATCCGATTTGGTTTAAACTTGAAATGTATGCTTATAACCCAAAGATCTCGGTTACTTTTGATATTCTCGCATATCGGACCGTAACTTCCTGAAATATGGCCCCTGATTGTACGAAAAATCGCGTTTTTAGCTTCTGGACACTATAGAGGTCATAATTTTTATCCGATTTAAAAAAAGTATTATTATATCACCGTTACACCCTAAGGATGACTGAGTTCGAATTTCGTGAAAATCCAAAGATCTCAGTTCCTATCGATATTCGCGCATATCGGACCGTAACTTCCTCAATTATGGCCCCTGATTGTACGAAAAATCACATTTTTAGCTTGTGGACCCTATAGAGGTCATAATTTTTATACAATTTAAAAAATCGTATTATTATATCACCGTTACACAATAAGGAGGGATGAGTTCGAATTTTGTGAAAATCGGCCCAAAACTGTCAGACAAAATGGCTGCCCTTCGTTCTCAAATAGCGTAAAAATATGGTATATCAAGGTTGTGGACCCTATAGAGGTCACAATTTTTATCCGATTTTGTTGAAACTTGAAATGTAAGTTTATAACCCAAAGATCTCAGTTCCTTTCGATATTTGCGCATATCGGACCGTAACTTCCTGAATTATGGCCCCTGATTGTACGAAAAAAAGGGTTTTTAGCTTGTGGACCCTATAGAGGTCATAATTTTTATCCGATTTAAAAAAACGTATTATTATATAACCGTTACACCCTAAGGACGGCTAAGTTCAAATTTCGTGAAAATCGGCCCAAAACTAACAGACAAAATGGCCACCCCTTGTTCTCAAATAGCTTAAAAATATGGTATATCAAGGTTGTGGACCCTATAGAGGTCACAATTTTTATCCGATTTTGTTGAAACTTGAAATGTAAGTTTATAACCCAAAGATTTCGGTTCCTTTTGATATTTGCGCATATCAAATTGTAATTTCCTGAATTATGGCCCTTGATTGTAGGAAAAATCACTTTCTTTTTAGCTTGTTCTCTATCCATCTCTCGAAAATGTGGGCGTATTCTGCCTGGCAGCCGCTGGTTATCTGATTTTGTTGAAACTTGAAAATGTAAGTTTATAACCCAAAGATCTCGGTTCCTTTCGATATTCGTGCATATCGGACCGTAACTTCCTGAATTATGGCCCCTGATTGTACGAAAAATCGCACTTTTAGCTTGTGGACCCTATAGAGGTCATAATTTTTATCCAATTTAAAAAAAAAGTATTATTATGTCACCGTTACACCCTAAGGATGGCTAAGTTCGAATTTCGTGAAAATCAGCCCAAAACTGACAGACAAAATGGCCGCCCTTCATTCTCAAATAGCTTAAAAATATGGTATAGAAAGGTTGTGGACCCTATAGAGATCACAATTTTAATCCTATTTTGATGAAACTTGAAATGTAAGTTTATAACCCAAAGATCTTGGATCCTTTCGATATTCGCGCATATATTTAGCTTGTGGACCCTATAGAGGTCATAATTTTTATCCAATTTAAAAAAAAAGTATTATTATGTCACCGTTACACCCTAAGGATGGCTAAGTTCGAATTTCGTGAAAATTGGCCCAAAACTGACAGACAAAATGGCCGCCCCTCGTACTCAAATAGCGTAAAAATATGGTATATCTAGGTTGTGGACCCTATAGAGGTCACAGTTTTTATCTGATTTTGTTGAAACTTGAAATGTAAGTTTATAACCCAAAGGTCTCGGTTCCTTTCGATATTCGCGCATATCGGACCGTAACTTCCTGAATTATGGCCCCTGATTGTACGAAAAATCGCACTTTTAGCTTGTGGACCCTATAGAGGTCATAATTTTTATCCGATTTAAAAAAACATATTATTGTATTATTGTTACACCCTAAGGGCAGCTGAGTTCAAATTTCGTGAAAATCAGTCCAAAACTGACACAAAATGGCCACCCTTTCGTTCTCAAATAGCATAAAAATATGGTATATCAAGGTTGTGGACCCAATAGAGGTCACAATTTTTATCTGATTTTGTTGAAACTTAAAATGTAAGATTATAACCCAAAGATCTCGGTTCCTATCGATATTCACGCATATCGGACGGTAACTTCCTGAATTATGGCCCCTGATTGTACGAAAAATCGCGTTTTTAGCTTGTGGATCCTATAGAGGTCATAATTTTTATCCGATTTAAAAAAACATATATTATTATATCACCGTTACACCCTAAGGACGGCTGAGTTCGAATTTTGTGAAAATCGGCCTAAAACTGACAAAATGGCCACCCTTTGTTCTCAAATAGCGTAAATATATTGTATATCAAGGTTGTGGACCCTATAGAGGTCACAATTTTAATACTATTTTGATGAAACTTGAAATTTGATGAATTATGGCCCATGATTGTAGGAAAAATCACTTTCTTTTTAGCTTGTTCTCTATCCATCTCTCGAAAATGGGGGTGTATCCTGCATGGCAGCCTCTGGTTATCCTATTTATAAAACCTTATTATTATATATGACCCCCCCACAGCATACTGAGTCACAATGAGGAAATTTTGAAAATTGAGTTATTGTTATTTTCACATTCTCTAACTCATTACCTTCAATTTGATGTATAGTTTGTTTGAATTGGGCAAAAATTGACTGAGAAGCTACCCAACTCACAAAAGTAAGTTTTGAGAAAAAGCAAGTCAAAGATTTGGTATGTTCCAAAACAAAATCCCATAGCAACATTGTTTAATATGTTTTTTATTTAGGATTTCAAGGGTGCTGACGACAAAAATCGTAATAAATGCACTCCTTTTGTAACGAAACATCCACAACACATACGGCATAATATTCACATGATAGTGTTCTACTGAAGAAAAATCTTTACATTAGTAGTCTGTTGTGTATAATATAACTTTAGTGAGATTAACTCAATTAATTAGCACCTTAGTGCCAGCTAGTGGTCAGGAGATTAAGATTGTTGATTGGACAATCATCAAAGAAGCCGCCACAGCTGTACGCGTGTTCATTTAACACGTGAATTTAAATAAGATTTTGCCTGTACGATAGGTCTATTACAGTGATAAGATTTTGCCCGTATATTCCGGACACGTCCTAAATTGTCCGACCAGGAATATGCCCAATCGGACATCAAGACATGGTAAATAATATTCAAAATTCCAAAATTAATATAGTATACTGAGTGCATAACTACCACTCAACCCGATTATCGTTGATAATAGGCTGGATTGATTAGGTAATTAAGTGATCAACGTATTTATCGTTTTATGCCGTCAATACACCTACCTTGATTAACTATTTAATCTGCCTTGATTGGCTGACTTAATTCTTTGTCAGACAATTCATCAATTCAATCCTGAACAGAAGTCATTGCTTCTCTTTGTCGAACTATATATCAATCCAATAAACTTAATCTATGTGATTAACCCGTGATTTCTCCATCTTAAGTTTTAATCTCCTTGATGATGGCCGTAGACATTAGTCATATATGTCACATATCCTAATAGTATATAACACCCCAAATCAATATACATTGCGTCCGATAACATGTCTGTTATATTTCGTCAGTGGAAGCCGAAGTTAAATAAAGCTATTTCACACACACGCAAAATGTAAGTAGAAATCTCGCAAGACACTTGGAATTAAGAGGTGTAAACGTGCCGAATGTAATACATCTGATGTCGGCAGAAAGATTCTATTTTGATGGCATATTGTCAGATTTATGATCATATTTTGAATGGGGTTTATGTTTTTAAATAAACAAATAAACACGCTAAGAAATGTTGACGAATATTTCGATTGGAATAACGTAAGTAGTTACAGTAATTGTTTTTATACGATAGCACGTGCTTAGAGTCGAATGGGATTATTTAACAGTTAGTGTCACTCGCTCGTTCTGTTAGAGCTACGTTTCCTACGGTTTACGGCCAAATAAATTTCAGGATGTCATTTTTTTTACCTTCCGTATATAAATCAAAATGGAGCATAAGACGAATGCCGGACTTTGCTGAAAAATGTATCGACTTATGACCCGAAAAATACAGTAATTTTGGGGAAATTTGAAACCGGTACGGATGGGCAGTAGTCGACACGCTTTCATTCTATGGTATTACGATGTCATGTAATTTTTTAGGAATATTATCGACATAAATTTGAATACCGTACGGGAATTAAATATGAAAAATTACGAGGTGCATCTAATTTTTTTTAATACGTATGAATTTGAATATTTTGTTGACACGTGATTCTTAATTGTGGTTTGAAAACGCCTGCTTAAATAACGATAAGAGTTATGTCCCTTTATTTTCGGGAAGAAAATGTCCGACAACTAAAATTTTGAAATCCCATCACTGGTCTATTATTATTTTCAGGTACCGTGACGTTATCAAAATATGAGTCCCTATAGAAATGTCAATTTCATAGTCAAGAAATGCTTACGTTCACTTTCAAGCATTTTGGCTTTGATGTAAATATCAACATTATTCAGAGGATACTCAATGGCAGACTGAGAATCGTCGCATTTCGGCTCGTTGGTCGTTCTCATTTTTTTGACCCATTGTGATAAGAGAATTTTAAACAATAATATCCCAGATGCATTCCTTACATTGCATGCCGTATGAAGAAGTGACGGTAAACGGAATTCAGC